CAGTGCAGATGTTGCTTGTAATCCATGGCTTCTGATTGGGATATGTATGTATGGTCACTGTGGGGACGCCGTTATCGATGCACTTATTGATGAAGCCAGTGACTGATGTGGTGTACTCCTCAATGCCATCGTAAAAATCCAGGGAACATATTCCAGTCTGTGCTAGCAAAACAGTCCTGTAGCTTAGCATCTGCGTCATCTGACCACTTCCTTTTTAACCGAGTCACTGATGCTTCCTGCTTTAGTTTTTGCTTATAAGCAGGAATCAGAAGGATAGAGTTATGGTCAGATTTGCCAAATGGAGGGCGAGGGAGAGCTTTGTACGCGTCTCTGTGTGTGGAGTAAAGGTGGTCTAGAGTTTTTTTCCCTCTTGTTGCACATTTAACATGCTGGTAGAAATGAGGTAGAACGGATTTAAGTTTCCCTGCATTAAAGTCCCCGGCCACTAGGAGCGCTGCCTCTGGATGAGCATTTTCCTGTTTACTTATGGTCTTAAACAGCTCATTGAGTGCAATCTTAGTGCCTGCATCGGTTTGTGGTGGTAAATAGACAGCTACGAAAAATATAGATGAAAACTCTCTTGGTAAATAGTGTGGTCTACAGCTTATCATGAGGTACTATTCCTCAGGTGAGCAAAACCTAGACTTCCTTAGTATTAGATTTACTTCTTCTGGCCACAGACGGCACAGAGAACACCTATACCCTCGCACACCAGAAAAACAAAGCAATGAGTGCTCTAAACCGCTGACTGACAAAAGCAAACAATGATAAATCAATGCATTGGAATAAAGGCATAGTCTATTTTTATCAAGGGTGCATGGCAAACAAATGACGAAAATTAGGTAGAACAAAGGAAAATCTATGCATTTAAAAGAGCTCAGCTGAGTCCGAAATTCAGCACTACTGAGTGTACAGGGTGACAGCTTGTGCAGCCACCTAGAAATTAATTATTTAAACCATAACAGAGAGGTGGGTGTGTGTGTTTCATTTGGAAGCTTTTATTTTAATATTTAATAATAATATAATATTAACATTTACCACTGTAAAACATATTTACCACTGCATTTTAAACAAATAGGAGAATTGTTTTTATTAGCATTATTTAGAGACCCCCCCCCCCCCCACCCAAAGTTAGATTTGTTTTGCATTTAAGGGAGCTAATTTCTCATTCAGGGGAGCTGAGCCCCCCCTGGCTGCCCCGTAATTCACACTCTGAGTTACAGTGAATAACAAAAACGTGTCCGTTCTCAAACCCCCAAAAAGCAGACCTCACACATACAGTTGAGATGAGCACAGGTTCAAGCTGCAGTGCAGTGCCCCTGGATGGAGAGCATGTTGTGGGGTTAAGTGCCTTGCTCAAGGGCCCAACGGTAGGGGAATGTTTTGAGGATATGAACCCAGCTGCCCTCCAGTTGTCAGATCAATTCCGCCCGTTTTTTTCCAGTGCCCAGCCCAGGTTTCAAAACCGGCCTCCATTCGGCCACAGGTCCATCTCCAGCTACAGGTCCAACTCCTTAACCGCTGGTCTACCTACCACCAGTACAGTATGGATTGTTGCCTGTGGTTCCAGAGAAGCAGAAAAAATTAGCAAAAACATGAGGTGGCCCTTTCCTGCAGTCAATGACCAAAATCGCCCTCTTTGGCCTCATGGGTGGAATGTTATTAATATTTTTCATAGTTTCATCATTAAACAAAACGACAATCTGGTGTTTCTATGTCAAACAGTTGTATTATATTTCAGTCTTCTGTAATATATATAAAGTGTAATGTTGGGATGCAAACTCAAAATTGAATAAATTTAAACTCTATATCTGACATGGTACTAGTGTCTTCTTCTTTTTAAGCCCATAACTGTGTGTGTGATGTGTATCCTTTTATTTCAAAGTTGATTTGTTTAAGACTACCATGAATCACTCAGTGTGACCCTGATTTAGCCCACTGCAGTAAAATGATAATCTTCAGAAATAAGTATGAGTTAATCTGCCAGGGTGCAACTCAATATTAGGAAGGTGTGCTTCATTTTTTGTATACTCAGTGTATATAGTGCATATAAACTCAGCAAAAAAAGAAACGTCCTCTCACTGTCAACTGCGTTTATTTTCAGCAAACTTAACATGTGTAAATATTTGTATGAACATAACAAGATTCAACAACTGAGACATAAACTGAACAAGTTCCACAGACATGTGACTAACAGAAATTGAATAATGTGTCCCTGAACAAAGGGGGGGTCAAAATCAAAAGTAACAGTCAGTATCTGGTGTGGCCACCAGCTGCATGAAGTACTGCAGTGCATCTCCTCCTCATGGACTGCACCAGATTTGCCTGTTCTTGCTGTGAGATGTTACCCCACTCTTTCACCAAGGCACCTGCAAGTTCCCAGACATTTCTGGGGGGAATGGCCCTAGCCCTCACCCTCCGATCCAACAGGTCCCAGACGTGCTCAATGGGATTGAGATCCAGGCTCTTCGCTGGCCATGGCAGAACACTGACATTCCTGTCTTGTAGGAAATCATGCACAGAACTTGCAGTATGGCGGGTGGCATTGTCATGCTGGAGGGTCATGTCAGGATGAGCCTGCAGGAAGGGTACCACATGAGGGAGGAGGATGACGTCCCTGTAATGCATAGCGTTGAGATTGCCTGCAATGACAACAAGCTCAGTCCGATGATGCTGTGACACACTGCCCCAGACCATGACGGACCCTCCACCTCCAAATCGATCCCGCTCCAGAGTACAGGCCTCAGTGTAACGCTCATTCCTTCGACGATAAATGCGAATCCGACCATTACCCCTGGTGAGACAAAACTACGACTCGTCAGTGTAGAGCACTTTTTGCCAGTCCTGTCTGGTCCAGCGACGGTGGGTTTGTGCCCATAGGCGACGTTGTTGCCGGTGATGTCTGGTGAGGACCTGCCTTACAACAGGCCTACAAGCCCTCAGTCCAGCGTCTCTCAGTCTATTGCGGACAGTCTGAGCACTGATGTAATTTGGGCAGTTGTTGTTGCCATCCTGTACCTGTCCCGCAGGTGTGATGTTCGGATGTACCGATCCTGTGCAGGTGTTGTTACACATGGTCTGCCACTGCGAGGACAATCAGCTGTCCATCCTGTCTCCCTGTAGCGCTGTCTTAGGCGTCTCACAGTACAGACATTGCAATTTATTGCCCTGACCACATCTGCAGTCCTCATGCCTCCTTGCAGCATGCCTAAGGCACGTTCACGCAGATGAGCAGGGACCCTGGGCATCTTTCTTTTGGTGTTTTTCAGAGTCAGTAGAAAGGCCTCTTTAGTGTCCTACGTTTTCATAACTGCAACCTTAATTGCCTACCCTCTGTAAGCTGTTAGTGTCGTAACGACCGTTCCACAGGTGCATGTTCATTAATTGTTCATGGTTCATTGAACAAGCATGGGAAACAGTGTTTAAACCCTTTACAATGAAGATCTGTGAAGTTATTTGGATTTTTACAAATTATCTTTGGAAAGTTAACTGCTTATTCTTTGAAAGGACAAACATACAAAGCAATGAACTCAATATTAGGAAGGTGTTCCTAATGTTTGGTATACTCAGTGTATAATTATTATGATGTAGAATAACAACGCTGGACAATTGAGGAGTAGAAAAACATCACCTGGTCCGACGAATCCCGGTTCCTGTTGCGTCATGCTGATGGCAGAGTCAGGATTTGGCGTAATCAGCATGAGTCCATAGTCCCATCCTGCCTGGTGTCAACTGTACAGGCTGGTGGCGGTGGTGTAATGGTGTGGATGTTTTCCTGGCACACGTTACGTTCCTTGATACTAATTGAGGAATGTTAGGTCCGACCTGGTACTAGATGGGTGTACCTCATAAACTGGCCCTGAATGTATATATAACCTTTTTTAGTAAAGCGTTCTTTGATCTCGTACAAAGAACCAAAAGGAACCAAACATTTTTCTAAGAGTATAGACCTATACATTTATATATACAAATATGATTCATATTTTCTTCAACATACAAATGTACTATTGACAAAAGGTAGGATCTCATAAGATTATTATAATACTTTTCCATATGGGTAAGCAATGCAGGCACTTGTAGCCTGGCATTTTATATAAAAGTGTACAGTACATCCAAACAATTCTGTGAGATGCTAGGCCGATGCCCTCTCACATTGAAGAGACAGAGATGGTGATCTTGCAATAAATAGCTTATTTTTATTAGCAACTTACAGACATCTCAGCCGCACCTTCCACACACTCTACAGAATCCTCAATTTAAACAAACTGAGCCCTTGAGGCAGGAGGCCACGAGTGTGAGCAATCGACTAATTAACAGTCAGTGCAAGCGATCAGTTTACAATTAAAGGGACATTCCACTCATTCTACATTCAAACACACAGGTAAAGGTTGAGCTGGTCAATAAAGATAAATTAACTAGATTTAGATTTGATGATGAATAGGCATTTTAGGATCCTTTAATATAAACACAATAGAATACATTCACACAAATGACAGTGAAGGCTACTCCTTCACAAATTCATAGGCAAGCTAATGTCTTAAAATGAAACTGTAATATCGACAAAGGCTTTTACCAAACAGAAATTATTTCTGATGTTAAATTCTAATGAAAAAGGTTCTATGTAGAACCTCCCACTGGGCAAAAACTGGTTGAATCAACGTTGTTTCCACTTCATTTCAACCAGAAAAATCTATGTGATGACGTTGAATCAACATGGAAAACTGATTGGATTTGCAAAGTCATCAACTTAAGGGCATTTCATCTTTTTTTTTTACCCAACTTTTTACCTAAATGCAATGACATGGTGACATTTGTTATTGATTTCACGTTGAATTCACGTTAGTTGACGGTCCCATAATCACGAAAACCAATATGACCGAACAGCCATCCTGTTGAAAGTAAAATCAAAGATACTGAATTAACAGCCATGAGAATAAACCATCATAGAGCACTGAGTCTATAACAGCAGTACAGGTAGATAGCAGTACAACCATAATTTTTCATGAGGCTTGTGGTTCCTCACCAGTAGATGTCATCCTGTAGGTCAGTCCAGCTGCTACAAAGACCACTCCCAGCAGCAGCCCACAGGCCCCGATCACTATCTTATTCTTCTCAGACTTAGGCAAGGAGGGGTCTGCAATTATACATTTAACAAAGATCATGGCCTCCAAACCACATGCAAAGAAAAATAGTATTTTAATCTCCCTATTCAACAGAGACATTGGGCTATACGACACAAACTGGTGAACATTTCAGAGACGAGTTGTGACTGTTCTACTCTTCAGCTGATGAGTTAAGAGTTGACTTTCCTTGTCCCCATGTTTATATTAGTGAGCCCTAAGATGAAATAGCCACTGTTCTGCAGTCCTGTTGGGGAGTCGGGTGAAGCCGTTCTCACTTATACAATTACTCCACTCACACACTCTTACTCCACACATACCCTTACCCCAGTCATAAAATTTGGGCTCAGTCTGGCTGATGTGCTCCACCATACAGGTGATTCTCTCTCCAATTGTGGGTGTGTACTTCAAATAGGACTGTATCTGGTAGCTCCAGTGTCCATTGGCCATTACGTCAGTGGAGGTCACATCTGAGGTCACTTCCTGGCCGTTCCTCAGCCACGTCACTCTGATGTGTTTGGGGTAGAAGAAGTGGACGCTACACACAAGGCTGGAGTCGCTGGACGGCCCCTCTAGCCTCAGTGTGACGTTGGGCTCCACTAGAGAAGGAGGTCAGTGAATCAATGATGATACGTTATAACTGGAAAAATAAGGTTTCGAGCAGAAATGTTGAGTGCTTGCTACAGAAATCTGTAGCCTAAAATGGTGGAAAAAACTAAGGGAATGTGCTTGAGACCAGCACTCCAATGTTGAATTTCCGAATTTGTTCAAATTAGGTTAAGGGTTTGGTTGGTAAAGGGTAAGTTTAACATTTTGGCTAGTCGGGCTGTCAATGGGATGCAAGTCAGAAAAGTCCCCTTAGTCTGTCCCTTCTGAGCACTAGCAGTTAAAGCCACAGTCAGTAAGATTTCCAGTTGTTCATTGTTCATTCCAACAACTCCTCTATTTAGAAGAATATGGCTTTGAAATACTATACCTTACTAGATTATTACAACTGACCTATTACTCCATGGTCTACGTTTTGTTGTAATACAATATCATTGAGAAAATAATGTGACATGTTATCAAGTCCTACAGAGCATATGCTATAGACATAAAACAAATCAAGTGAGGGATAACTTCCAGTTGTTAGTGAATTGTTATAATCACCCATATACATATCTGTTGTGTTGTAGATCCGATTAGCATATGGCTTGCATAACACCTCCATATCTGTTCTCCTCCTGGGGATCTCATCTGGGTCCTCATTCCACTTTTCTGCAGATATCACTCCCCATGCTGTGTATCCTGTCCACCTCTCTGTGGTGCTGTTGTACTGAGCCACCATGATCTTGTTAAAATGATGCTCTATAATATACTCCATATCATGTAAGTCTCTGGATCTAAACCCACACCAAGCATCATCGTGTGCAAAATCTTCATCTGAGGAATCAACTATAATAACAGAAAAGGGACATGTAAAAGTGATGTTTGGATTTGAAGAGTTCTGCACACTTCAGAAATATAATTGTATGGATATATCTGGTCCGCCAGCCCATTAAAAAAGAAGGATATAGCAATGACAATGGAAATAACTGACCCTTTTATTGGCTGCAAATTGATATAAACGAACAAATCGTTCAAAAAAATAATTTGTGCTGCCCTCCATTGAATTTCAAAATCCCTATGTGGCTTTCGAGACAGAATTATTGCCTATCCTTGTCTTATACTGTGTAAATTACTAGTTTATAACTTGCCATACAAATCTGTATTTCATTGCAAGAATATGGGACAATTGTAAAACACTTAGGTCTAGATTCAGTCAGATCATTGTCAAGAAGGCACACCTGCCCCACTCGCGTTAGAAGTTCAGAACGAGAAAGCTATCGAAATAATTACGCTCAAAGTGAAAAATCATAAAACGAAATAATGAGGATTTCTATCATCCTAATCGAGCTGTAGATTACATCTCACATTCCAGTGTTCGAATTTGTAAACAAGCCTGCATGGGATTTCTGTTAATGCGACTCAGTGCAGCCAATCGCAATGTCCACTTTCTTTTACTGTTAAAAAGCAATAAAATCTCATTTGGATTATGATTGTTTGTACTCACCCACTTCAGATAGAGAGGAGAAGAGGAGCAGCAGGTGGATGGAGAAGCAATTCAGCACATACATGATCAAGTCTCAGAGTTAGAACATTTCAACTGTGAAACAACACTGAGGAAACTAAAGCTATGTTTCAAGAACCACCCTCATAAACAGCTGGGAAAGTTCAGCTTTGAACTCAGGAGGACCGTTACCAACCTGGACTCAGGGGTAGATGTAACATAGTAAAAGTAAATCCATAGTGAATGTATATCCAGGACACTCCAATTAATATGATATGTATGGTATGTATTAATTTGTGGATGTCCATCATCCATTTCGTATGATATTTTATGGATTACAATTCCTTTGATATGTTACTAATTGCAATTCGTACAATATGTTATGAATTGCAATTCATACAATATGTTACAGATTAGCAAAACCTGTTATATGTTACCAATTCCAATTAGTTGTGGCTAACGTTTGCTATGTGGCTAGGTGACTAACGCTAACGTTAGCTAGGTGGCTAACATTAGCTAGGCTAAGGGTTAAGGTTAGGGTTAAGGTTAGCGTTAGGAGTTAGGTTAAAGGGTTAATGTTAGTGTTAGGGCAGTGTTTCCCAAACTAGGGGTCAAGCATAGCCGCAGGAAGTAAGGGTGCTGAGTGTGCTTCAGCACCCCCTGAAAAATCGGAATAAAAAAGAAATATTTACAGTGAGGGAAAAAAGTATTTGATCCCCTGCTGATTTTGTATGTTTGCCCACTGACAAAGAAATGATCAGTCTATAATTTTAATGGTAGGCTTATTTGAACAGTGAGAGACAGAATAACAATTAAAAAATCCAGAAAAACGCATGTCAAAAATGTTATAAATTGATTTGCATTTTAATGAGGGAAATAAGTATTTGACCCCTCTGCAAAACATGACTTAGTACTTGGTGGCAAAACCCTTGTTGGCAATCACAGAGGTCAGACATTTTCTTGTAGTTGGCTACTAGGTTTGCACACATCACAGGAGGGATTTTGTCGCACTCCTCTTTGCAGATCTTCTCCGAGTCATTAAGGTTTCGAGGATGACGTTTGGCAACTCGAACATTCAGCTCCCTCCACAGATTTTCTATGGGATTAAGGTCTGGAGACTGGCTAGGCCACTCCAGGACCTTAATGTGCTTCTTCTTGAGACACTCCTTTGTTGCCTTGGCCATGTGTTTTGGGTCATTGTCATGCTGGAATACCCATCCACGACCCATTTTCAATGCCCTGGCTGAGGGAAGGAGGTTCTCACCCAAGATTTGATGGTACATGGCCCCGTCCATCATCCCTTTGATGCAGTGAAGTTGTCCTGTCCCCTTAGCAGAAAAACACCCCCAAAGCATAATGTTTCCACCTCCATGTTTGACGGTGGGGATGGTGTTCTTGGGGTCATAGGCAGCATTCCTCCTCCTCCAAACACGGTGAGTTGAGTTGATGCCAAAGAGCTCCATTTTGGTCACATCTGACCACAACACTTTCACCCAGTTCTCCTCTGAATCATTCAGATGTTCATTGGCAAACTTCAGACGGGCATGTATATGTGCTTTCTTGAGCAGGGGGACCTTGCGGGCGCTGCAGGATTTCCATCCTTCACAGCGTTGTGTGTTACCAATTGTTTTCTTGGTGACTATGGTCCCAGCTGCCTTGAGATCATTGACAAGATCCTCCCGTTTAGTCCTGGGCTGATTCCTCACCGTTCTCATGATCATTGCAACTCCACGAGGTGAGATCTTGCATGGAGCCCCAGGACAAGGGAGATTGACAGTTATTTTGTGTTTCTTCCATTTGCGAATAATCGCACCAACTGTTGTCACCTTCTCACCAAGCTGCTTGGCGATGGTCTTGTAGCCCATTCCAGCCTTGTGTAGGTCTACAATCTTGTCCCTGACATCCTTGTAGAGCTCTTTGGTCTTGACCATGATGGAGAGTTTGGAATCTGATTGATTGATTGCTTCTGTGGACAGGTGTCTTTTATACAGGTAACAAACTGAGATTAGGAGCACTCCCTTTAAGAGTGTGCTCCTAATCTCAGCTCGTTACCTGTATAAAAGACACCTGGGAGCCAGAAATCTTTCTGATTGAGAAGGGGTCAAATACTTATTTCCCTCATTAAAATGCAAATCAATTTATAACATTTTTGACATGCGTTTTTCTGGATTTTTTTGTTGTTATTCTGTCTCTCACTGTTCAGATAAACCTACCATAAAAATTATAGACTGATCATTTCTTTGTCAGTGGGCAAACGTAGAAATAAGAAATAAAATAATAAGTAGTGCGCTGGGCCTTTGCTAGTATTAGCGGACAGATATAGACTTCTGTAGCGTGCAAAAAAAGGTAGTTATATAGTAGTATTGCCGCAGGATTCAATAGTTGGAATTGTAAGTTTTTGCCCTGTCCCTTTCTCTTACATTTGTATTTACATTTACGTCATTTAGCAGATGCTCTTATCCAGAGCGACTTACAAATTGGTGCATTCACCTTATGATAGCCAGTGGGACAATCACTTTACAATTTTTTTGGGACATATTTTTCTAATTTGGTAATTTTTAGAGTATATTTAAAATGTTCATTTGTTATACAGTGGGGAGAACAAGTATTTGATACACTGCCGATTTTGCAGGTTTTCCTACTTACAAAGCATGTAGAGGTCTGTAATTTTTATCATAGGTACACTTCAACTGTGAGAGACGGAATCTAAAACAAAAATCCAGAAAATCACGTTGTATGATTTTTAAGTAATTAATTTGCATTTTATTGCATGACATAAGTATTTGATACATCAGAAAAGCAGAACTTAATATTTGGTACAGAAACCTTTGTTTGCAATTACAGAGATCATACGTTTCCTGTAGGTCTTGACCAGGTTTGCACACACTGCAGCAGGAATTTTGGCCCACTCCTCCATACAGACCTCCAGGTCCTTCAGGTTTCGGGGCTGTCGTTGGGCAATATGGACTTTCAGCTCCCTCCAAAGATTTTCTATTGGGTTCAGGTCTGGAGACTGGCTAGGCCACTCCAGGACCTTGAGATGCTTCTTACGGAGCCACTCCTTAGTTGCCCTGGCTGTGTGTTTCAGGTCGTTGTCATGCTGGAAGACCCAGCCACGACCCATCTTCAATGCTCTTACTGAGGAAGGAGGTTGTTGGCCAAGATCTCGCGATACATGGCCCCATCCATCCTCCCCTCAATACGGTACAGTCGTCCTGTCCCCTTTGCAGAAAAGCATCCCCAAAGAATGATGTTTCCACCTCCATGCTTCATGGTTGGGATGGTATTCTTGGGGTTGTACTCATCCTTCTTCTTCCTCCATACACGGCGAGTGTAGTTTAGACCAAAAATCTCTATTTTTGTCTCATCAGACCACATGACCTTCTCCCATTCCTCCTCTGGATCATCCAGATGGTCATTGGCAAACTTCAGACGGGCCTGGACATGCGCTGGCTTGAGCAGGGGGACCTTGCGTGCGCTGCAGGATTTTAATCCATGACGGCGTAGTGTGTTACTAATGGTTTTCTTTGAGACTGTGGTCCCAGCTCTCTTCAGGTCATTGACCAGGTCCTGCCGTGTAGTTCTGGGCTGATCCCTCACCTTCCTCATGATCATTGATGCCCCACGAGATGAGATCTTGCATGGAGCCCCAGACCGAGGGTGATTGACCGTCATCTTGAACTTCTTCCATTTTCTAATAATTGCGCCAACAGTTGTTGCCTTCTCACCAAGCTGCTTGCCTATTGTCCTGTAGCCCATCCCAGCCTTTTGCAGGTCTACAATTTTATCCCTGATGTCCTTACACAGCTCTCTGGTCTTGGCCATTGTGGAGAGGTTGGAGTCTGTTTGATTGAGTGTGTGGACAGGTGTCTTTTATACAGGTAACGAGTTCAAACAGGTGCAGTTAATACAAGTAATGAGTGGAGAACAGGAGGGCTTCTTAAAGAAAAACTAACAGGTCTGTGAGAGCCGGAATTCGTACTGGTTGGTAATTGATCAAATACTTATGTCATGCAATAAAATGCAAAATAATTACTTTAAAATCATTCAATGTGATTTTCAGGATTTTTGTTTTAGATTCCGTCTCTCACAGTTGAAGTGTACCTATGATAAAAATTACAGACCTCTACATGCTTTGTAAGTAGGAAAATCTGCAAAATCGTATTTGTATTTGTATTTATTTTTAATATATATATATATTTTTAAATGTGTGCTTCCGCAGAGGTAGGGGTTTGATTCCCATGGGGGAGCAGTACGAAAAAGTATGCAAATGTAGGCACTCACTACTGTACGTAAGTTGCTTTGGATAACAAAAGTAGTGCACTGGGCCTTTACTAGTTCTGCATTAGCGGACCTATATAGACCTCTTTACTGCATTCATTTCAAGAACCATACTCTTTCACTTCCTAAAACCTTCCTTTTAGGTGAATCCCCATGGCCACTGCTAGTACATACTGTATTTTCGATTCAGAGATAGCGGACAAAATGAGGGTTAGGCTTCTGTTGTAAGAACAGTGTAAATATGTGCTTAAAGGGACATCACACTCCAAAATCAAAACTTGTCCTCTGCCAAAATCCAAAAGTAAGGAAACAATTGGCAATGCAATCTCTAGACATGCAGCGCTTATCTTTTCCATTCATTTTGGATTTCTGGCATAGGACAAGCTTTTTTAGCACCTTTTTACCCAAATGTATGCACTCATGACTGTAAGTCGCTTTGGATAATTCATCTAATTTTGACATTAGACTAATTGTGGATGTCTGAAAACATTGGAGTGCAATGTTCCTGTGATTAAATGGTGATAAGAACAATATAAAGTAAGGTATTACTTAGTCCTGTTTCAAACGGATGGGGAGAGTAAATCTGTGGATGGGGAGAGAATCAACATAAACATGTTTACTTCTCAGAGTTAGTTCCACTTCTCTGAGCTTTGGAGGACAGTGCATCTGCAAGGGGAAGCACCAGTCATGTGCAGGTGGAGGAGATAGTATCATGAGATTTCGGGAAGCCTTATGTCCTCAAGTGTCGCTAAAAATCCCCTACTGTACAAAACTATGGTAAATCTGTGGATGGGGAGAGAATCAACATAAACATGTTTACTTCTCAGAGTTAGTTCCACTTCTCTGAGCTTTGGAGGACAGTGCATCTGCAAGGGGAAGCACCAGTCATGTGCAGGTGGAGGAGATAGTATCATGAGATTTCGGGAAGCCTTATGTCCTCAAATGTCGCTAAAAATCCCCTACTGTACAAAACTTAATTCAGGAACATACTTTTAACTCACTGTACACCACAAAAAGAGAATCCTGTTTGTTCACAAGATAGATTTCTCAGAAAGGAAGCCACCAATGGGCCCATTGAAATCCAGAAAGTCTCCATGAGGCCAAATCTAATCCTAACAAATAAATTACAATGTAATCTAGGCCGAATATTATTATATTGATACATGGAGGACAGCACTTGCAACAGTCGCCATCAATGACTTTGGTTCGAATTGAGACAGAAAAAAAATCATAGAAATGGGAAAAGAGAACAAACAAACACTCCACAGCAAAATACTGGATGTCCCAGCACACACAGTGGGACTGCAGTTTTGTCATTAACACCCTCATCCAGGACACACTGCTGTGCAAATGTAATGCACTATTGAAAGTGCAGTACTTTCAAACCTCACTCACACAAAAAGCCAGACACGTAATACAATTAATTCCAGAAAAAAACATAGCAGTGGTCCAATGTTTATTGTAGGTCAGAACATGTATCTCCTAATGTATCTCCATGGTGCTTGCCTTTGGAGCAGTGAGGGGAACGGCACCCCTGTACCTTCAGGCTCTGATCAGTCCCTACACCCAAACGAGGACATTGCGTTCATCCACCTCTGGCCTGCTGGCTCCCCTTCCTCTGCGGAAGCACAGCTCCCCCTCAGCCCAGTCAAAACTGTTCGCTGCTCTGGCACCCCAATGGTGGAACAAGCTCCCTCACGACGCCAGGACAGCGGAGTCACTCACCACCTTCCGGAGACATTTGAAACCCCACCTCTTTAAGGAATACCTGGGATAGGCTAAAGTATTCCTTCTAACCCCCCCCCCCCCCCCAAATTGTAAAGTGGTTATCCCACTGGCTATAGGGTGAACGCACCAATTTGTGAGTCGCTCTGGCTAAGAGCGTCTGCTAAATGACGTTAATGTGCCCTTGAGCAAGGCACTTAACCCTAATTGCTCCTGTAAGTCGCTCTGGTTAAGAGCGTCTGCTAAATGACTAAAATGTAAATGTAAATGTATTTATTTGTTATTGTAAAAAGAATACTTGATTTACAAAATACAACTCACCTTCTACACTTTTTCAAATAGACAGAAATCAAACAGTGAGTAATGGCTTATCAATATCATCAATATCATCAATATTATCAATATTATCAATATGCACAGAATGTAATGTGATGATAATGACACTTAATGGCTTAAATCGTAATGGCTAGATCTCTCTAGTCCAGTGCCTCACTTCCCATCTTTATTCCTGAGACTCAGTGGCTCTCTTTTCCTTTGTAGAGGAATATTCCAGTAGCCACCCCCAGCAGCCCAAGAGTGAGGCCCACTCCACAGAATACAGCAGGACCAGGACCAGCACTGGACCCACTGACCTTATACTCTGGAAGACAAGAGATGTCACCAGAATCAGCACAATACACATTCACTCATCACACACTGCCTTGGAATGGTTTGTTTCAGGTCTCAATTTCAGAGTTTTTAATGTTTGAGCTCCTTCTTAAGGTTTAATATTAAAGTAAATATACTGAACAAAAATAGACCACATGTAACCATGCCAGCCCATGACTTCCACATCCGGCTTCTTCCCCTGCGGGATCGTCTAAGACCAGCCACCCGGACAGCTGATGAAACTGAGGAGTAGTTCTGTCTCTAATAAAGCCCTTTTGTGGGAAAGAAAACTAATTCTGATTGGCTGGGCCTGGCTCCCCAGTGGGTAGGCCTATGCCCTCCCAAGCCCACCCATGGCTGCGCCCCTGCCCAGTCATGTGAAATCCATAGATTAGGGCCTAATGAATTTATTTCAATTGACTAATTTCCTTATATGAACTGTAACTTGTTGAAATTGTTGCATGTTACATTTATATTTTTGTTCAGTATAGAACCATATACAAAAACAGAATGTCCTCTCTCACCCCTGGTTTTGGGGTCCTTCAGGGCCGTGTGCGCCACAGCACAGACGTAGACGTCCTCCTTTTGTGGGGTGAAACTCAGGCTGGAGAACTGGTGGAATGTTCCATCTTTATTAGGATAATAACGACTGAGAGACAATCCCTCAGTCACCTCCATTCCATTCTTAGTCCAGTTGACTTTGACAGGCGGGGGAAAGAAACCATTCACAAAGCAGATGAGGGTGTTCTCCACCCCCAGTTCCACCTCATCCCTGGGGTAGATGATGCTCTCAGGGGCATCTAGAGGGCAACAAGAGTCTGAAACTGTAAAGTATTCACTCAAAAATATACGTTTTTCAGATTTTTCAAATGTCATTACCTATAAATGTCCCATTCATTTGGGATTAAGGCAGATACTGTACATAGACCTACTCAAAAAATAGCATATTTTGTATTTTATTAGGATCCCCATTAGCTGTTGCGAAAGCAGCAGCTACTTCCTGGGGTCCACACAAAACATGAAACATTACATAATAAAGAACATTAATAGACAAAAACAGATCAAGGACAGAACTACATCAATTTAAAAAGGCACACGTAGCCTACATATCAATACATACTGTGTACACACAAACTATCTAGGTCAAATAGGGGAGAGGCGTTGTGCCGTGAGGTGTTGCTTTCTCTGTTTTTTTAAACCAGGTTTGCTGTTCATTTCATCAATACGAGATGGAACAGAGTTCCATGCAAAATGGCTCTATATAACACTGTACGCTTTCTTGAATTTGTTCTGGATTTAGGGACTGTGAAAAGACCTCTGGTGGCATGTGTGGTGGGATAAGTGTGTGTGTCAGAGCTGTGTGTAAGTTGACTGTGCAAACAATTTGGGATTTTTAACTCATTCATGTTTCTTATAAAAAGAAAAAGTGATGCAGTCAGTCTCTCCTCAACTCTTTGCCAAGAGAGACTGGCATGCATAGTATATGACTTTAACTCCGCTCGACTTAGACTACTCTGACAAAGGTTGATTTTGGAGAAGCACAAATCATATTGAATCACTGATTATCAGTTTATGTGGGACATTCCCATCAATAATCTTCACTTACCTTTGATTTTTGGTATTTTAGGTTCGGACTGTTTGCCCCATGCGATGCCGTTTTTGCACCACGGTCTGCTAATGGTAGCGTATTCACAAGCCCTTTCTTTATCCTCTGGTGTAATATATATGGATTTAGGTAATGTAAACACTACATCTACTGTTAGACATGTATTACTGTTTTTATTGAAGTCACCATAGAAGATTTCATCTCCATCAATCTCAACTCCCACCGCAGGATCACTTGACTCAAAGCATCCGTAGATAAAGTGAATTTCATGATGAACTGAAATGGGGGGAAAACACATTACTTCAAATTAATCAACTGAGGTTTATATCATTTTTCCAGGATGATAATATCTATATCAAACACGAACAAATGCATTTACACTAGTACAGTATCAAACATAAATCAAACTCTTACTTTCAGCAGCGGTGCAAACGGCTCCAGTGATAATCAGTATAATCACAGAGTAGTTCATCTCAAAGCTCATTTGTGTGTTGGAGAGATTGCTGCAGAATCTAACTCTTTCAATCTCTGATAGGAAGCTCTGAAAAGGAGGAAACCACAAATGTGTTGTTTCTGCTATGCAGCCAATATGGAAATTCCTTTAATTCTTACGTGATCACACATCAAACTTCTACCCGCAAGACAATGATCTAAGTTGTATTTTTATTTTGGGTTAAGTTATTACATATACTGTTGTGGAAATTCACCACTAAGGACTCAAACTCAAAGTAAATGAAGCAATCTTTATTAACGAGTGGAGAGGTTCACAAACTCAATAGCGGAGGTTCCCATTCAGTCCTTTTATACTGCTACACAAAAAAGTTATAATTATGGTTGGTTTCTGTATGTGACTGACTGATACCACATGAAGGCTTCTTACCTTGAAACTGAGATATTTTATCACTCCCTATAGTTGTCATGACTTTGGCCGAGGCTGCCTCCCCTCCTTGTTCGGGCAGGCTTCGGCGTTCGTCGTCACCGGCTTACTAACCACTGCCGCCCCAATCATCATCACAATTGTCTCGTCTTGTCAATCACACACACCTGGTTCCTATCCCCTAATTAGTCTGTGTATAAGTGTTCCCTCTGCCCCCTTGTCCTTGTGGGTGATTGTTAATTGTGAGAGTATGTAGCTCGGTGAGCTACTCATAACATTGTGTTGCCAGGGTAGATTTTCCCCCTGTGCCTATAGTGGGGATAAAAAGTATTTAGTCAGCCACCAATTGTGCAAGTTCTCCCACTTAAAAAGATGAGAGAGGCCTGTAATTTTCATCATAGGTACACGTCAACTATGACAGACAAATTGAGAATTTTTTTCTCCAGAAAATCACATTGTAGGATTTTTAATGAATTTATTTGAAAATTATGGTGGAAAATAAGTATTTGGTCACCTACAAACAAGCAAGATTTCTGGCTCTCACAGACCTGTAACTTCTTCTTTAAGAGGCTCCTCTGTCCTCCACTTGTTACCTGTATTAATGGCACCTGTTTGAACTTGTTATCAGTATAAAAGACACCTGTCCACAACCTCAAACAGTCACACTCCAAACTTCACTATGGCCAAGACCAAAGAGCTGTCAAATGACACCAGAAACAAAATTGTAGACCTGCACCAGGCTGGGAAGACTGAATCTGCAATAGGTAAGCAGCTTGGTATGAAGATATCAACTGTGGGAGAAATTATTAGGAAATGGAAGACATACAAGACCACTGATAATCTCCCTCGATCTGGGGCTCCACGCAAGATCTCACCCCGTGGGGTCAAAATGATCACAAGAACGGTGAGCAAAAATCCCAGAACCACACGGGGGGACCTAGTGAATGACCTGCAGAGAGCTGGGACCAAAGTAACAAAGCTTACCATCAGTAACACACTATGCCGCCAGGGACTCAAATCCTGCAGTGCCAGACGTGTCCCCCTGCTTAAGCCAGTACATGTCCAGGCCCGTCTGAAGTTTGCTACAGTGCATTTAGATGATCCAGAAGAGGATTGGGAGAATGTCATATGGTCAGATGAAACCAAAATAGAACTTTTTGGTAAAAACTCAACCCGTCGTGTTTGGAGGACAAAGAATGCTGAGTTGCATCCAAAGAACACCATACCTACTGTGAAGCATGGGGGTGGAAACATCATGCTTTGGGGCTGTTTTTCTGCAAAGGGACCAGGATGACTGATCCGTGTAAAGGAAAGAATGAATGGGGCCATGTATCGTGAGATTTTGAGTGAAAACCTCCTTCCATCAGCAAGGGCATTGAAGATGAAACGTGGCTGGGTCTTTCAGCATGACAATGATCCCAAACACACCGCCCGGGCAACGAAGGAGTGGCTTTGTAAGAAGCATTTCAAGGTCCTGGAGTGGCCTAGCTAGTCTCCAGATCTCAACCCCATAGAAAATCTTTGGAGGGAGTTGAAAGTCTGTGTTGCCCAGCGACAGCCCCAAAACATCACTGCTCTAGAGGAGATCTGCATGGAGGAATGGGCCAAAATACCAGCAACAGTGTGTGAAAACCTTGTGAAGACTTACAGAAAACGTTTGACCTGTGTCATTGCCAACAAAGGGTATATAACAAAGTATTGAGAAACTTCTGTTATTGACCAAATACTTATTTTCCACCATAATTTGCAAATAAATTCATTAAAAATCCTACAATGTGATTTTCTGGATTTCTTTTTCTCATTTTGTCTGTCATAGTTGACGTGTACCTATGATGAAAATTACAGGCCTCTCTCATCTATTTAAGTGGGAGAACTTGCACAATTGGTGGCTGACTAAATACTTTTTTTCCCCACTGTATGTCATGCAATGAAATGCAAATTAATTACTTAAAAATCATACAATGTGATTTTCTGGATTTTTGTTTTAGATTCCGTCTCTCACAGTTGAAGTGTACCTATGATAAAAATGACAGACCTCTACATGCTTTGTAAGTAGGAAAACCTGCAAAATCGGCAGTGTATCAAATATTTGTTCTCCCCACTGTATTTATCTGTGGGACCTTATATAGACAGGTGTGTGCCTTTCCAAATCATGGCCAATCAATTGAATTTACATTTTAGTCATTTAGCAGACGCTCTTATCCAGAGCGACTTACAGTTAGTGAATACATTTTTTTTTTTTTTTTTTTATACTGGCCCCCCGTGGGAATCAAACCCACAACCCTGGCGTTGCAAACGCCATGCTCTATCAAATTACTTTTAAAGAACAACCAGGCATCCTCTACTGACGGAATGAGATCGATATCCATCCAGGATACCTGGGCCAGGTCAATTAGGAAGGCCTGCTCGCTAAAGTGTTGTAGGGAGAGTTTGACAGTGATGAGGGTTGGTCGTTTGACCGCGGACCGTTACAGACACAGGCAATAAGGCAGTGATCGCTGAGATCCTGGTTGAAGACAGCGGAGGTGTATTTAGAGGGTAAGTTAGTCAGGATGATATCTATGAGGGTACCCATGTTTACGGATTTAGGGTTGTACCTGGTAGGTTCGTTGATAATTTGTGTGAGATTGAGGGCATCTAGTTTGGATTGTAGGATGGCCGGGGTGTTAAGCATATCCCAATTTAGGTCACCAAGCAATACGAACTCTGAGGATGGGGGCTGAGGGGGGTCTGTAGCAAGCGGCAACTGTGAGAGACTTATTTCTGGAAAGGTGGATTTTTAGAAGTAGAAGCTCAAACTGTTCGGGCACAGACCTGGATAGTATGATAGAGCTCTGCAGGCTATCTCTACAGTAGATTGCAACTCCACCCCCTTTGGCAGTTCTATCTAGATGGAAAATGTTGAGTTGGGGGTGGAATTTTCAGAATTTTTGGTGGCCTTCCTAAGCCAGGATTCAAACACTGCTAGAACATCAGGCTTGGCGAAGTGTGCTAACGCAGTGATTAACTCAAATTTAGGAAGGAGGCTTCTGATGTTAACATGCAGAAAACCAAGGCTTTTACGGTTACAGAAGTCAACAAATGATAGCTCCTGGGGAGTAGGAGTGATACTGGGGGCTGCAGGGCCTGGGTTAGCCTCTACATCACCAGAGGAACAGAGGAGGACAAGAATAAGGATACGGCTAAAGGCTTTAAGAACTGGTCTTCTAGTGCGTTGGGTACAGAGAATAAAGGGGGCAGATTACCGGGCGTTGTAGAATAGATGCTTATCAGTCTGAAAGAATTCGCTGTAAAAAATACACAATAGTCTCTACAAAGCAGAATGTTGAATAAAATTATATTTACACTTACTTTACCGGTTGTACATGCTGTTGGTCCTTTTGACTGTAGGAGGTGGAGAAAGGGTATTCATAGGAAAGTGTTGTTTACCCAACTTTTTGTGGGTTGTAGGTGGTATTTTCAATCTGTTGACGCATTGCACGTTATGCACAATATGCCAACTGTGACCGAATGTAACCAAATGTAGTCTACCAAACTCAGTTAGGCTCGGCCATATTGTGCAAGTGTTTGTCACGTGTGAATTGCATCAGCATTGAAAATAAAAACTGGAAATACAAACGATATACAGACCAGCGTACTGAAGGTCAGGTTGATAACACTTCCCTGTGTATACAGTGGGGGGAAAAAGTATTTAGTCAGCCACCAATTGTGCAAGTTCTCCCACTTAAAAAGATGAGAGAGGCCTGTAATTTTCATCATAGGTACACGTCAACTATGACAGACAAAATGAGAAAAAGAAATCCAGAAAATCACATTGTAGGATTTTTAATGAATTTATTTGCAAATTATGGTGGAAAATAAGTATTTGGTCAATAACGTTTCATCTTCAATGCCCTTGCTGATGGAAGGAGGTTTTCACTCAAAATCTCACGATACATGGCCCCATTCATTCTTTCCTTTACACGGATCAGTCGTCCTGGTCCCTTTGCAGAAAAACAGCCCCAAAGCATGATGTTTCCAGCCCCATGCTTCACAGTAGGTATGGTGTTCTTTGGATGCAACTCAGCATTCTTTGTCCTCCAAACACGACGAGTTGAGTTTTTACCAAAAGGTTCTATTTTGGTTTCATCTGACCATATGACATTCTCCCAATCCTCTTCTGGATCATCCAAATGCACTCTAGCAAACTTCAGACGGGCCTGGACATGTACTGGCTTAAGCAGGGGGACACGTCTGGCACTGCAGGATTTGAGTCCCTGGCGGCGTAGTGTGTTACTGATGGTAGGCTTTGTTACTTTGGTCCCAGCTCTCTGCAGGTCATTCACTAGGTCCCCCCGTGTGGTTCTGGGATTTTTGCTCACCGTTCTTGTGATCATTTTGACCCCACGGGTGAGATCTTGCGTGGAGCCCCAGATCGAGGGAGATTATCAGTGGTCTTGTATGTCTTCCATTTCCTAATAATTGCTCCCACAGTTGATTTCTTCAAACCAAGCTGCTTACCTATTGCAGATGCAGTCTTCCCAGCCTGGTGCAGGTCTACAATTTTGTTTCTGGTGTCCTTTGACAGCTCTTTGGTCTTGGCCATAGTGGAGTTTGGAGTGTGACTG